GAGACCACACCGACGTGAAGAGGTTCACTTCCGGGAGTACATACATCCAGCAGAGCCATTGGAAGGAGTCGGCGTCGACCGTCGGAGGCGGAGGGTTTGCTAGACCCCTAGCAAATGCAGACGGGTCACCATGACCCAGGTAAGACGCATTAATATGTGAGGTGCCAGATTCAAGCCAAAAGGAAGGCAACGAAAGCGGTAATTCCATGGTCCATTCCATGGATAGGAGAATGACCTGAGACAGGGGTCCTGCTCGATTGGTCCCTGGAGGTCGAACCCAACGATTGTGAGTGAGGCAGAATGGGCATTCCCGAAGGAATGAGAACAGACGCTGAAGCCAAACCCAACCCAGCAGATAAACCAGCATGGCAAAGTTCAGACTCCCGCACAACTGCTCAAGCAACAGCTGAGTGACCCGGGAACCCCCCCCCCCCAAGAAACAGCTGAAGGTGGGACTGCAGCCGCAGCAACGCCTCCAAAGGAAGAGAAATGGAAGTGGTCCGAGAGTCCCAAACAAGACCCAGCCAAGTCCGAACCTGGGACAGAACCAGATGGGACTTCCTATAGTTTACTAGGAACTCAAACCTAGCGAGCTGGGAAAGAACCACACCCCTGCTGAGCAGACAAGCAGACTGGCTAGGAGCCCAGACCAGCCAGTCGTCGAGGTAGGCCAAGACACGAACCCCTAGCAAATGCAGACGTGTCACCACGACCCAGGTAAGACACATTAATACGCGAGGTGCCAGATTCAAGCCAAAAGGAAGGCAATGAAAGCGGTAAGCCTGACGCCCCACAACGAAACCTAACCAGTTCCTGAACCCCAGATGAATAGGAATGTACCAATACACGTCCCTGAGGTCCTGGGACACCATCCAGGCACTAGGCTCCGAAAGAAGCTGGACCAGGGACAGAGTGGTCATCCGAAAGTAGGGGCAAAGAATCCAGGGGGTTCAGGCGGGACAAGTCCAGAATGAACCACAGTCCCGTTTCAGGACTTGAAATAGGCGAGGAAACCCGCCTGAGGGACAAGGTCATTTCGACCACACCCAAGCACACTCTGAGATGATCCGACGAAGTGCAGGGAAAGACGCCTGCCCCGTCAGCATCGACTCCCCCCGAAGGATGAGAAGCAGCCCAACGCCATCACAGACCAGATGACACAACTCGAAATGCCCACAAATTGTGAGATCAAGCATGGGCAGAGCCAGCCTCTCCCCCAGTGCCCCGTCAACAAGGCGACCTGCGAAAGGGCCGGTGCCCCCTACGAAAAGCCGGCTTGCACTGTGCTGATCAGACAACGCCGGAACCGGAGTGGGCAACGGTTCAGAAACTGGCACCAAGGGCCCACCTCGACCAGAAGAACCCCCAAGCCCTGGCACGACCAATCCAAGAGGCCCGAGAACAGCCTCCTTGGAGAAGCAGTAAATCCGAAAGGGAACGGCAACTAGACAAGGCTGCTTGCAAAAACCTAGTCACAGCCCCCTCTGCAAACAACAACGGACAAAAGGGTGATGAAAATCTAGGAGCCAGGACCCAAGCGGGTTCCAAGGAGAGAGCGAGGATGGCCTGGCAACACATGAGGCAAGAGGCAAAGAACAGAGACACCGCCTCCCAGAGTATCGGAGCAAAAAGCTTCAACAGCGCATCCAATGCAGAGACCAGTGCCCCAGACAAAGGCACGGCACTCAATGCCTCCACGACCTCCTCAAGCCAGTCCGAGGACAACTCAAGAAGGGAAAAGAAGAAGCACAAGACTGAGGCCAAACGCATGCAGGTGCAAAAATCCTAAGCTACCAAAGTAGCAGAAAGGAAGGGATCCTACACGTGCAGCTGCTGAAGGTTAACATCCAGAGAAAGCACATGGGTGAAAAGGCACGCATTGAGGCGCTCAAAATCACCCCAAGTAAACCTGCAGAATGGTAGCAGCCTCCTACCATTCAAGCGCGTGGATCTGTACATGATCCTTGAGAGAAGAAAGGGCAGTCTGCCTGCTAGAAGACCCCAGAACCTCATAACGCATCCAATACGGGAAAGAAGAACTGCACTCAAACAAGGACGGATCCATTACAGAGGCAAAATTCAGGTTTTGCAGGAAGTAAGCTGCAAGAGCCTCGTAAACTTCTTTAAGCGGGATGTGAGAGGCAGAAAACCTCTGGAAAGAGGGAGCCGAGGAGTCCAAGGGAGCCGAGGAACCCAAGGGACTCTGGAACCGAACCCAGAGAGGAGCCGACCCCAAATCAAATTCATACAAGGAACGGGGGCACAAAAACCCTGCTCCCTGCAACAAACAACCCCGTGACGAGAGCACCAAAACCCAAGTGGAATCAAAGTGGGTCCACGACCCCCCGAGTGACTCCTGCCCAGCCCCGGGAGCCTCCAAACCAGGCCCCCAGGACAGAGCCGTCCTCCATGTCCTCAACCCGTGAAGAAAAGGCAGAGTCCAGGGAAAAAGCAGCAAAGAAGGGGGTCTGCTGGAAAGACCCAGAAGCCTCGGCAGGAGAATCAGGCTTGAATGCCTCCGTCTCCTTCTCCGTCTTGAATGGAGCAGGCCCCAGAACCGCCCGAGTCTCATCACAAACTAAACCATCCCCTAACTCCAAAACTCTCAGACATTTGGGAGCCGGCAGCAGGGTGAACCACACTCACCGGGCCTAAAGGTGCGTACTGAACCTAGGTCAAAGTGACCAATGCCCCTAGGTCCAGGACACTAAAGCCAAAACAGAACAGCCCCTGGGCATCCAAGCAGCAACCAACCTAGTGCGTTGCAACAACCTATACCTACAATGCCATGCACACGCTGTCTAACCCCTAAGAACTTCCAAAGAAGAATGGGTAAATTGAAATACAAGTGGGGAGCACGTATCACAAGATTCTGGGTCGAAGGTGTCACCGACACCTGAAGATGACCCAACAGGCACATGATGGAGACAAAACAGATGATCATCACCCTGAGACAAGGGTAATAAAACCCTCGAACTCGCACAAAGTGAGATGGGACTCGGAGGACGCATCCGATGGTCAATCAAGCCCCGATGGGGTTTTCCCAGGGTCTGTAGGTGGTTTTGCCTACAGGAGGCCCAGGCAATGGTGCTCCAAAGATGGTTGAGCCCGAATGAGAATGTCAACAAAGTGAAAATTGGGCTAAACTGAACTCCTGTGAAGTGTATAAGTACGGTGGTCTAGAGAAGGGCCACCCAAAATACTCTCGGTGGACAAATAGTTAAACCAGGCAAATCTCCTCCAAGCAGGAAAACAAAAAGAAAAGAAAAAAAGAAAAAGCACAGCACCAACAACAGAGGAACAGAAAATATTGCTGCCGCTAGGTAGGTGTACTGCGCAGCACTTTGCACCCCCAACCAGCAACAACAACACTCCCTACCCAGAGCCAAACAAAGGCCACGAAACCCCAGCTGGACCCAAGGACGAGGTTAATGCCAAGCAGCAGGAGCCCCTATGGGAATGAGGTCCCAAAGGCTCCAGAGAAGGCAACCCTAGAACCCAAGGGTAATACTTACAGGGTAGTTTGGGAAGCCAGCCCTAAGCACATGCAGTCCCAGTACACAACGTTACTCCTGGCCACCGCACCACAAACAACAGGAAACACCATAAGGGCACAAAATTAAACAGGAAACACCACAAGGGCACAAAATCCAACAGGAAACACCACAAGGGCACAAAATCCAACAGGAAACACCACAAGGGCACAAAATCCAGCAGAAAACTGAGGCCTGAATCGCCGCCCGCCCCAGAACGCTTCAGTCTATGAACTAAGGAGTGGACAGCCGGCGTGAGAGTGAAGGGCTTCCCCCTCTTGTGGAGAGAAGCTGCGCGGAAAAGCTGTGTGGCGGGCTGATGACGTTTGCTTGTTGCATTTGGAGGGGAGTTCTGGTTTCCTATTCGATCTTAGGTTGCAATTTTCACGAAAAGGGTTTTTTTTTTGAGACGCCTATCTTTCTGGGTGCCTAACCCCAGTTGATAGCAGACATGGAATACTCCCAAATACAAGGGAGCTTCTTTAGGCTATTGCTCCCTGTGCCTCTCGGAGGGGGGGGGGGGGCAGTTCTGGCTCATGGTCCCCGGTAGGCAGAACTCCATTAACTGAAGCCCCAGACTAATAAAGCATATATGAATCACTTAGTAATAACACTTAGGCATATATGAATCCCAGTGCACCCCACCAGCCAAAATCACTTCCAACCCAAGGAAGAGAGAAAGCCAAAGACAACTGACTTACCTAGGGCGAGGGCCACCACAAACAAGGAGGCTCCTAAGGCAGCGATCCCCAAACACTCGAGGAAAGGTAACCCTGGCAGTACTAGGGAGCACCAGAGAGGGCACCTCATACTCAATACCATCAGAATAGAACTGAGAGTGGGTCAGCCAGCTGACCCCGGCTGCCTCCCTCCTCCCACCCTAAATGAGGGGGAGGTAGGAGGCAGTGAAACAAGCTAGCCCTAGTTTTATGAATTTGTAACTGTTTGTTTACATAGTTGGAGTTCATTTGGTGGTTCTCGAGGCAAAGGTCTAGCTTATAACAGGCAGTTGTCTTTCCTTTTGCTGACTTTCTGGGTGCTTCCCTGCTAGTGGCATAGTAATTCATAGTTATTTAAAGTAACTCACAGTAATTTTCCCGTAGTGTGGCCACCTCCTGTGCATCTTTAGAGGGGGCCAGGTTCTGGCTCCTGGTCCCCAGTAGGCCTATAGAACTCCTATAATGGCGCTTAGTAGTAAAGCACTATCAGAGACAATCACTTCAGGGAGCCATAAGGGGGCTTCCTCCAGAAAAACAAAGTTGCAGGAAGGTAGTTAACCTCACGTGACATCTTGTCTTAATATGAATGGGATTTCATTAGGTCACCTAATTTTCATACTAAAGGTAAGAACTGAGTAGATCTATAATATGGCAATAAATAATTAACAAAGCAACTTAAACAGAGTGGAAGCACTGAAAATTAATTTCATATACCTAATAATTAAGACTATAACAGTAGACTACTTACCCACTTTGTCTTAGGCTGGAGAAGAAACAAATCTTCACCACACAAGTTTATATCATCCATCCCTTCCCTGTGCACTCTCAACTCTCCCTCAAATCCCTTTGGAAGAATCAAGGGAGGAGACAGCTTGATGCTGCAATAGCCATTTTCTTCAGAACAAGTTTTGTGTGTTAACTTCACACTATCAATTACTTCCTCAGGATCTTCAAGAACAACAACAATCTCTTTGGTATTTTTCAAAAGATTTGTCCGAACACTAACTTCTTCCAATATTATAGGATGTAGAATTCTAATTCCCAGTCCAATATTGCATTCATAGTTCGTTGAAACATTATTAACTAACACATTATTGCTCTTGAAGAAAGTCTGTATGTGAGAGCTTTCAGAATCTGAAATAAAAAGATTTTTTTTTTAAATTAGCACTTGTATAAAATTCCAACATAAAATTTGTTTATAGCAGAGACAGAAATATAGAAGGGGTAGAACTGAACTGTAGTTCAGTTGTACAAAATTTATTCTTCATGAAACGTAAAAAGCTTATTGTCAATAAACCCAGCATTGAATGTACTGATATGCCAGTTTCTGGAGGAGCCCCAGTGGTTCCCTGAAGCTATCTTAATGAGATTGCTTTATACTAAAAGGTCACATCAGTTCTGTTTGGTTTACCGGGCACCAGAACCGGAATCTGATCCCCTCATGAGAGATGCAAGTATGTGGAGATAGTCTGTACCCTCACCAGAAAAAGCCTCCAGAAAGTCAGCACAGCTTTACAGACAACTGGAGGGTTCACAGAAATGAACTCTAGAAAACCAACATACAACTCCACACATGAGTCACACTGAACAAGGGCTTCACTCAAACAAGCTAGAAACTCATTAGTACCAATTATCATCACCAGGCAGCCCAGCTCCGGCTCCCAGCTGGCTCCACAAGTTAGTTCTGGACCTGATGAAGAAATCTACAAAAACCGATGAACCTGAAGGTGGGGAAGGTGAAGGTGGAATATAAGTGGAGGGTGGTGACCAAAGCCACATGTTTATAAAAATCATGAGCCAGAGGGTAGACCGTGGCCCGGCTAGATGTGATGAGACTGCAGACAACCTGAGAAATGCGAGCCTTGGAACAGGAAACCAAGGAAATGGGACCAATCAACAAGGTGTCTACTGGGATAGAACCAGTGGCACACAGGTAGTGGCAAGGAGCCACTATGAGACATCAAATGATGCACCCCAGTACAGTATAATCAATCAAGCATTGTTCACCAAAGGACAACTCCGAAAACCCACTGACTCCTCCTTCACCAAAAATGATGGAGAGGGCTGCAAACAAACTGCCCACCAGCACCAGAAGGACAAAACCCATGCCTCAGGATAAAAAAAAAAGCTTGAAGCTCTCCAACCCAGCTGCCAGAGGTGAGAAACAAGAAACTGCCTTAAGAAAAACATCATGAGCCAAAGAAGGAAACCATAAACCGAGGGGAAGAAAGAAAAGCCAAAATATAGTCAAGGGACCAGGAAAGCTGATGAGCATGAGCAGGGCGGAGGTGGAAGAATGCTCAATACAACTTGCAGAACAGTGCCATGGTGTCAACACGGATTGCAAGCAACAGCGGCTCCACCAAATGATAAGAGGTTACAGTATTTAGCATACCATGCCAATACAGAAATGCCTGTAACAAAAAAAAAAAGACAAGGAAGATCGAACTGAAACCGAAGACAAGCTAAGAGGAGACAAACAGTGATGAAAAGAGCACCAGGCAACCTTATACCATGAAGAAAGATGCAGGTGGTATATGCCAAAGAACTAGCCACCCTCACACCAAACAAATGGTGATATTGAGACATACAGTAGAGGATAAATTTAAACCAGAGAAGTATACTGCCTTATCTGTTGGAAGAGGTAGAGCCATGGAAAAATGCCCCAGTTTGGACAGCTAGGCTAGAAGCACTGAAAAGCAAGGCTGAGCCAGCCACCAAGACAAGAGATGGATCACCCTTCCTAAGTACGAATCCAGACTGGCCAACAATCAGAGCAACAACTGAACTAGGGGAAAAGAGGTAAAGGCATCTCCATCTTGACCAATCCAGTCGAAAGGCATCCACCACGAGAGTCTCACAATCAGGGAACAGAGCCACACAGGAGGGAAGGCACCAGTTCTACTCCCCCAACAAAGAGGTCCACATTGAGGAGACCTAACATCCTGTAAAGCAAATGGAAGGGCTCACTGTTGACAGTAGACTCCATGTAGATGGCCAAAAGGAAGACAACCTACCTGTCTGCAAGGACATTAGACACAACCCGCACATGAACTGCATGGAGAACTAAACCCAGAAGCCAGAAGTCAAGCCACACGAAGTGTCCAGCTCCACAGAGGAACAGACTGAAGAGACTGTCTCCCACTTGGTTTAGACAATGAACTGCCAGAAAGCAATCAAAGTGAACCTGGAGCTCCGAACCTGGAGCCAGCTGAATCCTCCTCAAGTCATGTGACATGGGGTCCATTCCTTCCAGTGCACAGTGTTGTGCACCCAAAAGTATAAATCCAACCAACAACCCTGGGTGGCCAGCTAAGTGATGGTCACAAAGCCCCACCTCAGAGATGAGGTGTCCATAAATACATCAAGTGACAGGAAAGGATGACAAGAGAAATGAACCCAAAAAAATCCGAAGGGAAGTCGGCAAAGCAAGAACCGACAAAGAGTGGTGGAAGGGGTAAAACCAGACAAACCAGTACAATGCCTGAAGTCAAACCATGCCTAGAGGAAAGGCAAAACCGGTAAAAATCCGGCTCCCACACAACCACTCGACCAACCAGTGAGTCACCCAGGGCCGATCCAACATCAGATGGAGATGAAGCTGCAGGCAGAACAAGCTCACCATAGTCAGAGAAAGATACACCAACTGAGAGTCCCAAACAAGGCCCAGTCAAATCGGAATCTGGGATGGCACCAATTGGGATTACTGCAGGTTCAATACACAATGACCAGATGTAGAGCTGGAGAGGACTCCTGACCCAACAGACTTGACCCCCAAATATAGGGGGTAGGGACCGACCAGTCCCCACCGAAGACCACAAGAAAGTACTCAAAATGCGTGACCAGAAGCTAGCAAAAATGGCCCAGGTGCCCTCTCATAACGGCATTAACCCTCAAACCGCGCATATCATATATAAATGATATCAGTGACAAAACCGAAACCGCGCACATCATTTATATATGATTTCGTGTCTGGCGCTATAATTTAAACTCCTCGCCTGGGATAGGGGCAGCTATAGTACAGCCACGACCGATAGTTGCCAGATGCCACCTAGAAAAAAAATCCAGGCCAACATTCTTGGGTGTTACAGCGTCAGTATTGAGCAAGCCACCAAGGCTGGCGCACGCAGCATGAGCTCACAGCACCGCTGTTCAGCTTGTGACCACAGCATCACCTACAAATACCATAATATATATGATACAGCTATTATTTAGCAGTGATAGTATTACTGAAGCCCCCTGACTGTGATAAAACTGACCAGGATTCTGATAATACCAGGATTGTGGTGATATTTAGCGCTGTGCTCCATGGAGGGAGGCGTAAGGCTGTGCGAGGGAGGGTTGTGGCATCGTCTTCTGACTGTGTGTGGCCACCATTTATTGACTGCACTCACCATACCAGCTTAGTGGTTCGATATGGTGAACACAAATGTAGATACTTATATATAACATGTGTATAGAGTGTGATAACAGCGAGAGGAGTAGGTTGGGAGCCGCCATTTTGGTGAGGGAAGAGCGTCGTCTGCACGTCTTGGCATGGTGTTTACTGATGGCCACTATGGTCTTTGGGCACCATACCAGCTTATTTGTTCAGGTATGGTAAATAAAACAGGTAGATACTTATATATAATATGTGTATATAGCGTAATAACACCACAAACAATATTGTTGAAGGACAAATATTAGTGCGTCTGGCTTTGAGGGCGGCCGCCGATCAGCTGACTGTGTGAGTAGCTACGTCTTTGTGGCCTTTACTCACCATACAAGCTTAGATGTACAGCTATGGTGAACAAAACATGTAAATACGTATATATAACGTCTGTGTATAGTGAATAAATACAGAAAGAGTATTGTAGGAGGTGAGTGAGAAGGTGTTGAGGGAGGGAGTGGCAGTGAGTGGCTCGCTGGTGTTTGGCGGTCACTCCTCGTTGCTTTTTGACTCACAAGACCAACTTAGTAGTTCGTTATGGTGTACAAAACATGCAAATACTTATATATAACCTGTGTATATAGTGTAACAACAGCAAAACTATTTGTTTATTGTTTTATGAACATAATAATTGAATCACTAATATGCACATCATAATTTTGAGTACAGTGATGGTTCACACATTTTATAATATAAATATACCACAATTCACTGTATGGAATAATATTACTGCAAAAAAACTAAGAAAAAATCAATCAGAGACATTGAAATAATTAGGTAATAATATATTTGTGGCAACTGCCGTCTGACAGCTCGGGCGGAGTAGACCTCGTCTGGCGAAGGCTCTGCCAACGCCCCTTTTTTGCCACACTTCCCTACCCTATTGCGGCTAAAATATGCCACCTACGATTTTTTTGTTATTTTTTCCGTGATCAGGGAACAAAAATGAACACTTCTATAAGACGAAAGAATTTTTTGGAATTTTTTTTTTTGTTGCGCCTGTGGGTGTGAATTCCATTTGGGCCCCTAGCGGTTTGAGGGTTAAAGGGGCAAACTATGAAAGGGCTGCTGTGAGCCCTAAGCAGATCTAAACCTCCATGACATGTAATTCCAACATCGAGTGAAGGAGGAATCCTCCTCAGGTAGCACAACGCCCCCAGGAACCTGACCCACCCGAGGACCTACCTCAACTCAAAACAAGCGAGGTCCCCACCTGACCCAACTGCCTCTGAAAGGGTCAGAATCTTTAGAAAACATCACTTGATCAATAAAACAGCAAAAAAAAAAACAGCGCTGAATTTAATGAAACGCCATTTTCTGGGTGAGACCCGGAGGCTCCCCAGAGCTATCCATGCTGATATGGATTTTTTTTTTTTTTTTTTGAGATATATACAAGAGTTGTTACATTCTTGTACAGCCACTAGTACGCATAGCGTTTCGGGCAGGTCCCTGGAATACGATCCCCTGCCGCGAAGAATCTGTTTTTTCATCCAAGTACACATTTTACTGTTGCGTTAAACAGAGGCTACAGTTAAGGAATTGCACCCAGTAAATCCTCCCCGGCCAGGATACGAACCCATGACATTATATTAGCTTTCTGGTATCAGTCAATGTGCATGGAGTTCTTGCCTACCGAGAACCACAAGCCAGAACCTGCCCCCCCCCCCCCCTCAGAGAGGCACAAGGAGCAACGGCCTATAGAAAC